AAGTTCGTTGTTATAGCGTTTGTTATAGCGCGACTGTTGAAATTAAATGTATCACAAAGTTATATTCAGAAAGGCCCGGCATGGCCAGGTGGATAAGGCACTCGACTCACAATCTGAGGGTCGCGGGTTCGAATCCCCGTCCCACCAAACATGCTCGCCCTTTCAGCCGTGGGGGCGTTATAATGTGACGGTCAATCCCACTATTCGTTGGTAAAAGAGTAGCCCAAGAGTTGGTGGTGGGTGGTGATGACTAGCTGCCCTCCCTCTAGTCTTACACTGCTAAATTAGGGACGAACATGTTTGGCAGAACGGGGATTCGAACCCGCAGATTGCGAGTCGAGCGCCCTAACCACTTGGCCATGCCGGGAGTTGGATCAATAGTACTGAGTTGAAAAGAAATGTAAATAGCGTGGAAAACAAAACCTTTTACAACTTTTCATTAGAGAGTAGTTATACATTTAAAATTCTGCATATACAACACTCTGGTCATACAGGTTTCATTAAAAGCGAGATTAAGTTTAATAGGCTATTAAACAAAAAAAGAGAGAGATATATAAAGAGATAAATTTATACATTATTTATTATGCTTCCAACAACGTGGTCCACAGTGGCTGAAATACGATGAGGGTAAAGAGCGGATAAACTATGATGTAGCTTTTTGCAATTAACAACAACAAAAAATTTAAGATAAAATTTTAAAATAAAATTACATGTTTTAGATTAAAATTACAAGTCAATACACAGTATTATCGATCATTGCTTTGGCACTCATTATGTTTGATAAAAAAATTCTTAGCGACGTGAAAAACATCAGGGAACAGACCAAATTATTTTCACTTTAGTCGTGCTAAAGCTGCAATGAATAGTAAAGCTGTGCAAGAATTGATTGAACCGTGAATATATATATATATATTGTTACGCATCCGTTCGTTAGTTAATTTTCCGTAAATTTCGTTCCGACGAAACTTTAGCGACACAAGTCCTTTGTTAAATAAAACTGGTTTATTCTTTCTGAATACAACTTTGCAATACACTTAATTTACACAGTCGCGCTATAACAAACGCTATAATTCACAACGAACGTCTCACGTGCTCAACTCAACAATACTCTGTCCGCAGTTCAATTACACATTGTTCCCGTCGCTTCTTGGCCGGTCTTATATATACAAGACTACCCCATATCTAGTAGTCTCTCGACGCTTCATGAACGTTCTAGAAGCGCGTGGCGTGTTACTAGCGTCACGTGACCTCCGCTGTCGTAACACTGCCCCTTTCTTAGTATTGTTCGTCCCGAACAATAGCCACTTACATTAAACTAATAAACAATTAACAATAACTTAATTAAATGTACAGAATTTACAAACACAAAATTAAAATTCAACAAACTTTTTCGGGACGTATCTTCTTCCGCACTGGTCTCTGTCTCGTTGGCTTCTGCTTCATGTGGGGTTCATCTGCTTCATCAGGAAACGTCCTATCACTGGTAACAGTTACATCAGTAATAGTAACTTCATCAAGGGCTTCACTGCTTCCCTTCTCAAAACCGAATAGAATATCTTCTACGACAGTGGCTT